AGGCTGGTAGTTCCGGAAAAAAAATAAAGCATATAAATTAAGCAAGATTAAAGTGTCTAATTCCTGACTTAGAACTTAACCACATTCTAACCCTAATGGCCTTCAGTTGTTCCCTTTGACAAACCAAACCAAAGCTAGTCTTACTTAATGCCAAATCCTCTCTTTTGATTTTTCAATGTTAGGCTCATAGTTTCCTCCTAAGAAAGTTTTATGTTTGCCATGGTGGCTAGAACAAGTCTCCACACGCATTCATGTTCATGGACGGTGTCAAGTCAATGATCCTTCTTGGACATTATTCATTTATTCACCACATAGTTACCATTCCTTTGCGAGTTACTGCCCACTTGAAAGTTTAGAAGAAAAACATGCACACAGGGCCTTCATGTTTCCTCTTCACTTCTGAATTTTCACAAATGGAGACTAGTGCTTTGCATTTAGTAAGTGCCCAATTAACGCACTGATCCGTCACAGCAAAGGCATCGTCTGATAAGCATTCAAACAAACCACCCAAAAACCTTAACTCAGGGTTCGTGCTTGGTTTGCACGTGGCCAAGTGGTGTTTAATCCCTGACATCACTTATGGTTCCTCTGCTCCACCAAGAGTGATCCCTAAGCAAAAATCCAGAAATAAGCACTGACCACTGCCAGGTGTGGCTCAAAAACCTAATTTAACAAAGAAATGAAATGAAAAATGAAACCTTAACTCAGAGTTCTTTGCCCCCTCGCCTATACCCAGACAGTTAGTAGGAAAGCAAAGATCTCATTCGCGTGCATGTGGCCGTACCAGAAACTAAGGAGAGCTGAGGGGGCAGGGAACTCCTGGGATACCGTCCTAGAGAGACCCAGCCACAAGTGACAGAGCAGCCATCCCCAACAGGGGACACAGACCACAGGTTTCAGATGCAGATTTTAAAGTAGGAGAGTGTATACTGAGTAGAATATGGTGTAGGAACAAAACCAGGCCATGAGACACTGGAGGTGAGCAGGTAGCAAGGGACAGAATGAGAGCAGTCATATATGAGTCAAAGAACCCTGGATATTTGCAAGGGACCTGCGCCAAACTACCTGAGCTGTACAATCAACTTTAACATCTTAGGATAATTAAATATATAAAATTTCAAAGTAAAAACTTAACTCATTTTATCACTAAACTCCTATAAGGTAAAAACTATTACTATAGCCACTAAATTTTCTATTATTTTAAATATAAAAAACCAAGACACAGAGAGATTAAGGAAACACATTGAATGGCAGGGCTACCATCATGCCTTGCCTTCTTTTTCTAGGGAAGCCTCAGGTAGAATGCACCTGGGGCTGAGGGAAGGGGAAAGCATGGATGCAGAGAAAAGAAATCAAGACTCATATGCCAGTTTCGGTTCTAAATACCAAGAGTCTTTCTCTCTCCCTCTCTCTGTCTCTCTCTCTCTCTCTCTCTCTCTCTCTCTCTCTCTCTATATATATATATATATATATATATATATATCTGTGTGTAGCAAGTTGGTACATTCTTCTAAAAAATACATGTCTTAGTTGTCATCTCAAATATAATTAGTTCCTCTTTTCATGTGTTTCTGCTGTTGATTTGCAGGATGAAGCCAGGAGGCCATGACTGTAACATCCCTTTCTTTTCCAAGGATGCCTATGATGAATCAAAACATTATTCTTTTAACAAATGAAGCATTTAGCAGCAGGAGTTGAGTTATGAAGGAAAACATTCAGGGAATGTTTAGACACATGATTAAATGGCAATTTTAGGAGAAGCGCCAGCAAAAAGAGATCATTGACATCAAGAGAGATGTATGTGTGGATGTGGGGACGTTACTTGTGAGACAGTGCCTGAAGGGAATGCCTACCCCTGGCTACTACTCTTTGGAGGAATCTGATTTTCTTAATTTATATTCCTGCCAACCCTTTCACTCCTTTAGATATTGCCTTGTTACCTGACTAATTTATTCCTCCTGACCCCTCTTCCCCAATGTAGGGTGCAGATAAAATGCAAAGAAATCACACACAACATTTTACAGAAAGGCCTATATTTAGTTGTACCTGTTGAACCAGACCTCATATTTAAACTTGTTCATTATAGACTATCACAGCAAGATTTCAGATCACTGTAGAGGCATCCTGATTAATGACTAGAGAAATCACTTGTGTTTGTTTCAACACAAACCAGATTGACACATTTTATTGTCCAAGAGATCAGATAATATAGAAAAGTGCCTTTCACACTATCTGACTTGGCAGCGTAGGCTAGAGAGATAATTTAAAAGGCTGCAGCACATGCCTGGAAAAATCTAAGCCCTTAATTCCATCACTAGTCCCCTTGGCGCCATGATCACTCTCAGTATAGTTCTGGTGGCCCTCAGCACCAGCGAACTAACCTGAGGGCCAAGCTGAGCCATGTTGGAAGAGTTTATCTTCCAGGAATAGTCCCCAAGTACCCTGAGTATTTCTTGAGTATGTCCCAACCCCAAGAAAGGAATTGCTGATAGTGATAATTACGAAGAGAGTTATTAGCTTCTGATACCCCCTTCCCAAAGGCTAGAATACAGAAGAAATGTTGTTCTTAGGTTATCCATGCCTTAGCCACCATCTATCAAATGTTTTACCTTATATTTCAACCCCAACTAAACCACTTTGATTTGTTATCTAGATTTCTGAGAACTGATCCCCAGGGATTTTATAGACTCACAGCTATGTAATTCAAATCCAGATGTGCATTCCCCTGGCCCCCACTCCTTGGCTACCCTGTGCCCCCTACTGAGTAGAGGTAAAGTCCTGTTCAATAATATTGTTCAGACCAATATTATTTGCAGACAGGACTAGTGTCATATGTGTGTTGCCAAGGTCCCACCCAGGGTCCATGTTCTGAAGAGATTTACAGTAATTCCACTGCCACCATTTTGAAATTCCTAAAAATATGTGGGGAAAGGCCAGCTCCTCTTTGGAATATTATTGACTATCTGAGGGGTAGAAATATGAAAAATATTATGGATTTGGATTTAACAAAATCTTAAATGTATTTATTAGAATAAGTATTTGTAATTCTAAAGCAAACAAAATTAAAACTTGCCATAAACAATTTAATCATTCCTCAGTGCAAATGGTCTTCTAAAATCTCTCTAATTAAGATCAGAAGTAAAATGAAATTTCCAAAGTGATTAATTACAGAAATATGTTTGAAACTGAATTTGGAAACTAGGAGGAACACTCGAGAGAATATGGTCCTGTAATGAGCACATCCTGTAGTCTGCCTCACACATTGACACCTGTGCTTCAATTTTTGTTAATTCAACCACATTTGCATGTGAACCACCAATGGTACACACCCGTGTCAGTGATTAAATGGTTTGAACTAAATCCTAAATCCTGAGCAGGTAGAAGAGTTAGGCTGACATCAGGACATCAGAAAAGTACCAAGGAAACCTAGAGTGGTTTTCTCTCAGGCCTGCCTCTCGTGCTAGGCATGAAAAGCAGTGGAATGGCATGAGGGTCAGACAGCCTGAATTCAAATGAATGTTGCTTCATAATTATTTTAAAACCCAGAATTCTGACTTTTAAACTAAGACATGCTTACAGCTGGATGGCATTCAAGAATATAGAATCATCTAAATAAGACATAGAAAGTTTTGTGATTTCTTTTTGTTCCACAAATAGAGGTCCTTCTGGGATTACCTTTAATGAATAGACAAGAAGAATGCATAATTAGAATATCAGTTGTTTACCACATTTAAGAGAAGAACCTACTTAAGCAATCTAAGAAATGTATGTATATAAAAACTCTCTGAACTATATAAATAGTTTAAAGTGAAACTCTCTTTCAAGAATTCACCAAAAGTTAGATTCTATCCAACTTATGTCTATCGTGAATTTGAGAGTTCACAATGAAGAAGTTTTTCTATCTAATAAGTAAAGGTTCAGTAGGAGCATTTCACAATCTGCAGGCTATGATTCATTTTAATGTCTGATTTTGCCTTTTACAATTCAAGATGATGACATTAAACTGGGAACCAATTGTCTATTGTACTCTCAATTTTGAAAGTGGAAAACATGGTTTGGTCATCAAAAAAAAAAAGCTTTTGCTCCCTTAGCTAGCCATCTCTTCGACCCTTTCCTTTCTTTGTCATCACCCCATCTCTTTCTGGGCAGCACAGAGATGCCAGGTCTTGTCCCCCTGCTCTGGCCTCTTCGAGAACATTCAACACAGGGACTGGTCATGACCTAGAAGCTGACTGTGATATTTTGTCTAGTCCACATCTGCTCATATTCAAGCTATTTTCAAGCCCAATCAGTTTTACTGACAAAATTCTTTCAAATCCACCCAGTCCCTTCAGCACTCTGAGACCCAGGGTAGAATGTGTCTTACTCAAGCTTCTCACTGCCATTTGGCCCCCCGGACCCTCCACACAGCAATCACTGAAAGCCCCTTAAACAGAAACTGATCACACCATTCATCATCTTAAAGCCATTCTATATTTCCTCATTCTTTTTTAAGAAATAGACAAAGCAAACAAACTGACAACATGGAAAGGGGTTTTCTGGCCTTGTGGATCCAAGCTGGCCTGTCTGCTCCTTTCCCCTTCTCACTAGCCATAGAGAATTTTTTGCCTTCCTTGAGACTGTGAGATTCTCCTAATCACATGTGTTGGCATCTGCTTTCCTTCCTTGAGAGATACCCTCTAACCACAAAAAAAAAAAAAAGAAATCTCTCATTTGTTCAGACCTTAGCGTAAAATATATTATTTCCATCGAAACTCTTTCTCTGATTCCAAGACCAGGTCACATGCTCCCCTATATATTTATTCATAGTCATATGCCTCTTCATCCCTCCCAACCTAAAGAATATATAATTAGATATTTGTATGTGATTATTTAACATCTAGAAGGGAGCGTCTAGATGCAGGTGTTGCTTTCTACTGGAGCTCAATCTCCAGTCCCATGCACTGAAGTCTGATGTCATGGGTGCTTCATTTATACACAAATCCTCCCTCCCTACTCACCGCACTCATTAGTGAGTCCAGAACACTGACGGCAAAAGCTGTCCCACATGCAAAGGGTTGTGTGAGGTACAGTTCTGTGTCAGGATCATCATCGTCGTCTTGGTCCAAAAACTGAACATTAGTATCATTCACTAGAAAAAGCAAAGAATAAAAATTAGCTCACAGGGCAACCAGTATTGGTAGCAGAGAGAGACAGAAAGACTGGGGTTGGGGCGGGGGGAGGAGAGAGAGAGAGAGAGAGAAGGGAGAGAGAGAGAGAGAGAGAGAGAAAGAGAGAGAGAGAGAGAGAAACTCCAAAATAAGTCACTGAAAAGAAAAGAAAGCATGAAAGAAGCTGGAGATGGATCTTGGTCAGTTAGACTCAATGGACTGCGCCCATGTGATCTTTCAAGTTTCAAAAGTCTCATAACAGTGAGTTCAAGCCTGATGACAGACTGCTGGGGGACAATTACAAGTACACAGTGCTGGTTAGTCCTTTGGTATAGTTTTAGAATCATGACCGAAAAACACCCAGAGGTGCTTTTGGTAGCCAAGTCCTTTGAGAGACAGACATGTTTCAATGATGAGCAGCCATGAGTAGCCATGCCAGGACCATGAGTTTAGCCAAAAGAAAGCAACTTACTGAGATGAAAAGCAAGAGAATTGGAGCAGTGTGGGGGTAAATAGGAAGAAATTCACCTGCAGGCACAACTCACAACCTGCCAAGGGATCTGTGTGGGTGATGCAGGTGGGTGTGCCCAGACCCACACCTGCCAGACACCTGGGTGCGGTGATCCCTGGCTGTCTCCAGCTGCTGGTTGGCAAAGATTTGCTCTGCATTCCAAGTTGCACAGGGACACCCACATTCTCCCTTTCCCCTCCTAAATAGCTCAGTCTTCGATGCGCTCAAGCAAACGCAGCATTTGATACCGTCTTTCATTTCCATGGGAGGATTCCTCAAGGACTCCTCCAGCACACACGAGCAGACTGATTAGTTGTGTCACAGAGATGTCTTTAACTTATTAAAAATTAAATGACAAATTAATTTTCATTCCCATCTCGGCTTCAGAAATTATCAGTCTTACAGAGCAAGAAATGGAGGTGGGGAAGCTGTGTGGGGAGAGGAGGTAAGAGGTTGTGATTTCTGGAATAATTATCGAGCTTGCGGGAAAAGAGATGAGGTTTTCTTTTCTCCTGATTTCTTTGTAAATGTACCAGCAGTTAACTTGCTATCCTAGAGTTATTGCTTTAACTTTTCCCCCTGGAAGTAACTTTTTAGATAACTTTTTCTTTTTTAAAAAAATTTTTTTGTTTATTATATGAGGTAGAATAAATGATAACAGGTTAAAAGACTAAAAGGCCCTCCCGTTGATCGTCGATTTGCTCGAGCGGGCCCAGTAACGTCTCCATTGGAGACTTTGTTGTTACTGTGTCTGGCATATCGAATACTCTCGGTAGCTTGCCGGGCTCTCCGAGAGGGGCGGAGGAATCGAACTCGGGTCGGCCATGTTGGCCGCTTGGAAGGCGAACACCCTACCCGCTGTGCTATTGCTCCTGGAGCAATAGCACAGCGGGTAGGGCTTTTGCCTTGCACGCAGCCAACATGGCCGACCCAGGTTCGATTCCCAGCATCCCACATGGTCCCCCGAGCACCGCCAGGAGTAATTCCTGAGTGCATGAGCCAGGAGTAACCCCTGAGCATCGCCGTGTATGACCCAAAAAGCAAAAAAAAAAAAAAAAGAAACTGAAAAAGACTAGGTGTGGTATTATTTTTAAGTGACACTATCTTGCTTCCTTATTGACAGATTCTTGAGGGAAAATATTTATTTATTCTGTTCTCCCAACATTGACCATGCCTTAGTCTCCATTTTCTTAGCAGCATTGAACAGCGTACGATGGGCAAAGTACAAGATCTGACAACCAGGCATTGAATCCATGTTCCATCACTGGGGAAAAGCATTTCATCATTCTATATTTCTGTTCTCTTTCTAAAATAAAGAAACCATAAGGATGTCAAGTTCTGTAAAGCCAGATGGAGTGCAGATACTGAAAATCCTGCTGTCCTGACTTATCTGTAGTATACAGAATAACAATACCATGGAAGAGAAGATATCAAAGCCAAGCAAACCATTAATCTTAGATTCCAGGAATGAAAATATCCAAGAAGGGGAAAATGGAAGAAATGGAAGGGGGAAATAGGAGGCATGGCCTGAAGGTAAAACATTGGCCAATAAACTTGCCTTGAACAAGTTTAGTTGTGTAGAGGCAAGTTATGCACCAGAACCAAGCACAGGAGCAAAACTACAATAATTGTGTGTTTCAAGGGGGTGGTCTAGGCATGGCGGGAGAGGACCTGGGGACATTGATGGAAGGATGCTGACCTAGAGGTGTAACTGGAACTGACGCACTATATGCATGAAACTCAATTATTAACAGCTTTGTAATTAACACTAACTAAATACAAAATAAAAACTGTAGCACTGTAGCACTGCCCTCCCGTTCATCAATTTGCTTGAGTGGGTACCAATAACATCTCCATTGTGAGACTTGTTGTTACTGTTTTTTGCATATGGAATATGCCACGGGGAGCTTGCCAGGCTCTGCTGTGCGGGCAGGATACTCTTGGTAGCTTGCCGGGCTCTCCGAGAAGGATGGAGGAATCGAACATTGGTTGGCCATGTACAAGGCAATGCCCTACCCACTGTGCAATTGCTCCAGCCCACAAAATAAAAAAAGCAAAAATAAAATTAAAACAAGGAGCTGTTTTCTATGAGTTCGTGCTTGGTAAGCTTGTGCTGTACACTGGTGACTGAGTGCCTCTCACCATTGTCCTTCTTACACTAAACACTTCATCTGCCCTCTGCATTATGAACACCCCAAGCTGTCCATTGGCTCTCAGAGGTCAGAAGACCTTGCTTAGATTTTTAGTAAATTGTCCGAGAGTACCTAGTCTCAGAAAGAAAGCAGTTGAAATTACCCAAGCCTAAATATGTATGTTGATGTTCAGATAAGTGGGAGTGAGGTCAAAAGGCTCAAAACAAACTTGTTTCTCATGGGGCATCTAGGAGCCTTTGACCAGCTCCATCTATTTAGACTTCCCAGAAGATGAGAGCCTACTGCACAGTTTTAAAAACTTGTTCCTCTGTGGCACCCCTGTGTTTCTTCAAAGGCATCTCTAGACTGGTGTCATGTGGAACGCACCTCAGAACATGGTGGTGAAGAGTAAATACTTGTGTCTCTGAGGAGATAGAGCACTGAGAAAGAACAGTGCTTTATCTCCTCAGAGACACAAGTATTTACTCTTCACCACCATGTTCTGAGGGCCTCAGCCACAAGTGAAGGATGATGTGAAGACAGGGAAGTTTCTCTGAACTCATGGAAGAAATGGGGAGAGACCATGTTTCTTCATGAGATTCAATTAAAGAGACCCAGTGCCTGAAGGTTGCCTGCCATATAGGCCCCAAGCTTTTCTTTTCTCTTTCATTAATCATAAACCAGGATAATTCTAGTTAGTTGGCAGCAAATGAATTACAGGAGAAGAAGAGAAAAAAAAAAAACACCCACAACTTCTTCCAGTAATGACCTTGAGGGGTTGCCGAATGTTTCTGAGTTGAAGCTGCTGGGATGAATTTTCTAAACCGAGATCAGAATCTATCCCAAAGTTCTGAGACGAGCAGTTCAGAGACTCCTGTTTTTAAACAACATCTCTAACCATGAAAGAGACACCTTTTCTGCTGCTGGAGATGGAGAAGAGTGCAATGCTCCTGGGCTCAAGTGAATTTGTCCTGATATAACGCAGTGCTGAACGGTGGACAATTTATCCCTTAGTTTCTAGACACCTTATGTGCAAGAACAGTGCTAAAAGCCTGCTCTCTTATTTTGAAATATATTCGGGGGCCACAAAAATGACATGTCAGTCTCATTTGTGAGTCATTTGAAGGCAGCTACTCACCACCCCTCTAGCCACCCCTCCACAGAGCAGCACTTTTGCTGTCTCTATTTCGAAGATCAATCCCTAGTTCTCAGACCTGCCACTGAGGGGTGTCTTTCATGGAATTATTAACCAAGTCATAGGGAATAGTGGGAGTGCCTGACCGATGCCCTGATCACAGGAGGGGGCCCTTCATCTTCCTGAGCCTACCCTGAATCTCACAAAGGGGTTCTGGGCCAGCAGAGCGAAGGTCAGAGTGCTGGCTCTGCTAGCTCACCCACTTTGTACCCTTCCTCAAATCTGGCTTTAGTAAGATGATCCCCTAGGAGCTAGCTGCTTTTATGGCTTCAGAACCAGAACTTCTGAGAAAGGACCTGGTGGGGATAGATGTGCAAGGAGGAGGGAAAAATAAAATAAACAGCTGGAGGGAAGGCACTATCTTAGGTTTCTTATCTTAAAATTTTTATATTTCTCCTTTGACTTCCTCTGAGAGCTGTGAAGACATGTCAGTCAAACTGACAGTGTGTTGGAAGAGGAATATAAGGGAGAAGGTGGGGGTGTAGGGGGACACATGGAAAGGGTGGAAAAAACAGAAAAAAATGGCCTAAGCAAAAAAAAAAAAAAGAATTAAAGTAAAGATGCTTTAGAAACAACTGCCAGGTCAGATGGGTGCGATCAAAGGTTTACTGATGGGGGGGGGGGGGGGGGATCATTAAGAAAGGCCAGAACAAGGCAGTCGATTCCAACCAGAGCCACAAATAAAAAGCATTCAAAGCAGTGCCATGGGGTAGCCTTTCTGTTACAGCCAGTGAAATAAAAACAAGCTGATGAGAGTTGGAAACACCAACAACAGAACAAAAGGAGATACTGATGTGAAGAAAACAGTGCTTCTTACCCAGTTCTGTTATCATTAGAATGTGCGTCCCACTGTTTTTTTCCTGATTGACTGATACCAAAGGCAACTTGCCAGGCTTAGCTAATTGGATACAGCATTAAAGGATTGGGGAAGGGGAGTGGAGGAAAGTACAGAAAAAGAAAAGAGTAAGGGAATAACAGAGGAAACATTCTACAGTAAAGGGACCCAGGAACATGGTATTAATCATGTAGGGAGGAGAACACTCAGTCATTTCTCAAATTCCCCAAAATAGCAGAGAGCCCCATGGCCGGGTTAGCAGTTGCTTTATACAGGACACTGATCATGGTTCTAAAAAAATCCATCATTTTCAGGACCAGAATGGCCTTCATGAAAATGACTTTTGCCTGAGAAATTTAAGTAGCATAGATCAAATGAAGAGTTACCACACAGTAGCTCCTACCCAGTTCTCAAAATAATTTGGCCAAAATCTGAGGATTCATCCCTCAGTGGAGAATTGTGATTGTGGAAGTTGACGGCAGATGCTTTCAACATAATCACAGAAATAATCCATGAGCCCATCACCTTTTCCACCTCCTCTACATTCCTAACCAATGCCCCCATCTCAAATCTATCATCTTATATTTCTTTGAAACAGAAACCAACATGAAGGGAACTGTCTATTCATCTCAGAAGAAAGCTAGATCAACTTTCCTTTTGGAGTCTGTCATATTCCCACCCAATCTCTCACCCACCTCCCCACAATAAACACCAATAAACATCACTATTATGCTGAAAGACCTAAAAGAACAAGAAACCTCCTTATAAGTTTGGAAGAGATGACAAAAAAAAATAAACCCACCCAAAGCAAGCATTCACCCCTACCTAGTTCTGTAATGATGGGGATGTTGACCCCAGTTGTGATGGATGGCTGGCGTAACATCCCATGCACTGGGCTGTTGTCTGGAGAGGATCTGTCCATTCCTGGAGGGGTGAACCCTAGTGGAAAGGAAAACGAGGAGAAGACAAATTAAATGTGGAAAATTTAGGAATTGGAAGTACTTAGTTATATACAATTTAAAAAATAGTTCATGGATCCATTGGCATTGGCCCAGCTTTACAGATTCACAACTAAATATCTAAAGATATGCAAGCCAAGCCACTAAAATGTACCAGGTACATTGGTCTCCCAACTGAAACCTCTGGGGCACCCTCAGGAGGGAGAATGGGCTTGAGTCCCCAGCCTGCTGAAGCCCTGGCAGCCGTGCCTATACCACAGAACTGTCACCATGGGCCAACTCCACGCTTCACAACTTCTCTCTGCAGAGATCCCAAACAGACGAAAATTCTTGGTACACTGGTTTTCAGGCCGAAAACTCTGAGGTATTCTTGGAGCAGGGGCTGGGCAGCATCCTCCCAACCCCTGTACTTCCAGAAGCCCCAGCAGCCACACCCACATCCCACAGCCACTGCCATGTAAACTCATCCATTGGCCCAGGTCTACAGATCTGGAGTTCATGGAACATATGCAGCTGCATGACACCTCCAAATTCCAGAATACTGGCATCCCAATAGGAGTACACCAAATTAGAGGGGAAAGCAACATTGAAACTAGTTAATTTTGATAAACAAAAACAATAACACAGAAGGTTGAACTAGCAATGAACAGCTTTGTAAACCCTCAGACAAGGACTTAATGACACCATGGTGCGACATAACAATTTTCACAAATATTCTTTTGCTGAGGTAATCTTTGATAATTCCATTAACCAATTAGTCATAACTAGCAATATAAAATAAATTAGTTTATCCCTACTAAGGGGTCAGGCTTAAGGGGATGGTTGGGGAAATGGGGACCAATAGTGGAGGGAAGTTCACACTAGTGTTGGAATACTGAATGCCTGTAATAACCGTATTATGATGAATTTCAAAAACCAAGATGTTTAAATAAACTTAAAAAGTAGTTTATGCATTATTTACAGGTCAACAGTTAGTGCTCCCAGGACAGATTCAAATGCATTGCTAGCCTGCAACAAAGAGAACACCATTGCAAAATATTTTAACTCTCTTTGATAGTTTTCTAACAATCAATCTTTAAAGTCAGTTATTGATCTTGCTCACAGATTTTGGTCGCCTCTCCCTCCAGACACATCAAAGAACTGTAGAAACATGAACAGAGCAGAGAATATCATTACTTCTGATGCAAGTATTTGACTTGCCACCTTTCCCAGCCTGTGGCAACTGTAGGAACACAGGTTACTATGGATATGAAGGCTGGGCAGCAGTTCTGGACAATAGCCCAGACCCACAAAGCATGTTGAGTGAGTGAAAAATCAATCTATGCTGCTTTAAGTTACTGAGATTTGTTTCGTTATTGTTGCAGCTATTTTTGTCACCACAACATAATCTAACCTAGCCCGACTGTTATCATAAACCAATTGATTGCCTATCCTCTTGCTGATGAATGAGTAGCAAGCCTGGTTTTTTGTTTTGTTTTTGTTTGTTTTTGCATAGTTTTCACAGGATGGAAACCAGCCAGTAGAATGACACTGGCTGAACTGAATAACAAAAAGACTGAGTGATGGGAAGAACTCCGTATCTCTTAAATTAATAACCTGTGGAATCCAAATCAGGATCTCTTCCATCAGATATTTTTTAGTCTTTCATGGAATTTTTTAATATATAAAATGTTATTCTGGGCTGAAGCGATAGCACAGTGGGTAGGGCGTTTGCCTTGCACGCAGCCAACGTGGCCAACTCAAGTTCAATTCCTCCATCCTCTTGGAGAGCCCTGCAAGCTACCGAGAGTATCTTGCCTGCATGGCAAAGCCTCGCAAGCTATCCATGACGTATTCGATATGCCAAACACAGTAACAAGGCTCACTATGTTACTGGGCCCGCTCGAGCAAATTGATGAATAACAGGAGGACAGTGACAGTGAAAATGTTATTCTAGAGGCTAGACAGATACCTCAGAGGGTAGGCCTTTGTTCTGCATGTGGAAAACCTGGGTTTGATTCCTGGCACCCCATATGGTCCCCTGAGAACTCGAGTGACCCCTGAGCATGCACCCAGAAATAAACCCTGAGAACCACTGGTTATAGCAAAAAATATTATTTTATATATTAAAGTCATATACATGTGATTATAATATAGCACTGCACTGTAGCACTGTCCTCCCCTTGTTCATCGATTTGCTCGAGCAGGCACCAGTAATGTCTCCATTGTGAGACTTGTTGTTACTGTTTTTGGCATATCAATTACATCAAGGGTAGCTTGCCAGGCTTTGCCGTGCAGGCGGAATACTCTCGGTAGCTTGCCGGGCTTTCTGAGAGGGGCGGATGAATCGAACCTGGGTCAGCCTTGTGCAAGGCAAATGCCCTACCCACTATGCTATTGCTCCAGCCCGTGATTATAATATATGTGTCATTATATATGTGTGTGTGACTTTCTATGGTTAAATAAACCAAACTTGAGGTGGTAAGACTAAGACTTTTGCTGGCTTAGTTTCTTTGGTTCTGATATGAAAATACCACATAGATTATTAGAATAAGCTTGACCCAATCATTACTCTAAGATCAGTGAGGCAAGCAGCCATCCCACCTAAGGAGAATGACTAGCCCTTTAAAGGTGTGCATAAAGACGTATAGACATGAGGCATTTAGACCTCATACACTCATTAATTTTACAAAGTGGTGCACAAAGTCGGTTGAAACCTAAGCTCCATTTTCAATGCAATTCTTCCTTCACTTTGGCGAACAAGCAGAGAGATGTGCACATTCACTTCGGTGCCTCCTCTTTGCTCTTAGTGGGCAGACTGCTAGGTGGACTGCTCAACTGTTGTAGTCTCTAGCTAAGTTCCTGTGGACAAAATTCCAATTGTGTAATCAGATCTGACTCACTTTCTGGTAATGAGAATGGGGCTTATTCTGTCATTATGTAACAGGGGAAGTTTTAGTGATCAGGGTTGAACTGAAGGGCATTCAATAATTGCCCCTAGTTTGGGGAGTAGAAAATTCATGAAATGCCAGAAAATATAATCTATCTCATCTGTTAATATCACATCCACTGGATATGCTGCTTGCAGAAATAAAAAGGAAATTTTATTTACTACTCTTTCCTTGATTGCACTTATTATAATTCTTTGTGAATGACAGTGTAGTGTCCGTCTTTATGCACTTTTGAATATATGTTTTTCAGCCAGCCACAAAACTAAGAATATGCATTTTTAAACGTTAGCTGTTTTCCTTCCCTAGAATAGCGAAGAGGAAAACTAAACTGTTTTCATCAGAAGTTTCATTCAAAAGCATGAAAAACGGCAAGTGACAGCTGTGCAGATTCAGTGGATGTGACGTTTTTGAATTTCTTCAACTTGACAAGTAAACACCTTAAATCCGTAATGCTATATGCATAATACATGGCCTGTATTTTGACATCCATCATCAAATGCTGACTTGAGGAAATACGGGTTTGTACGTCAAGGAATAGCACCCATAAAATGGAGAAATGCAGGTCACACGGCATTAGGAAAACTGTATTTCATTATGGAACCTGCAACAAGCCAAAGCATCCTTTTATTTCATCTTATTTAAAGATTCCATTTCTACCTGTGAAAAGACTCGATTCTTTTGCATGAAACCTTCATTTAGAAATGACATGCTTGCCTTACAGACCTCTTTCATTTTGCTTTCATATTCTGTTTTCCCCTTCAGTCCTCAAGCCTGGTTCCATTAGCAACTGACAAACTATGGTGGAAGTTCAAAGACATCGTCCCATTAAATTAAGGTCCTGTCCTCCCCTGTGCATCACTCCATGGACAGGGTGCTCTTGTTGGCCAAAAGCCTTTAGTAATGATAAAGTCTCCATTTATTTCACTACTTAATTTTAAGGGACCACACTCCGGGGTGTTCACCTAAGGGTTGAATGGACCATACCCAGGGTCATACTTGAGCTATCTCCAAAGCCCTTAGCTACTTTTCCAATAGATTTTTGGATTTGTTTTGGGCCACACCCAGCAACACTCAGGACTCACTACTGGCTTGTGCTCAGGGATTATTCCTGGCAGCTCTTGGGGGACCAAGAATAAATGAGGGTTGGCTGCAGGTAAGGCAAGCACCTTAACCCCAAAATACCTCTCTGGCCTCTCCAGGCACAGATTTTTTTAAAAAGCAAAGGTCATTTCTTCTATTTCCCCCATCATGTAGAGTTATGTTCAAGATAAACAGAATGTAGGAGTCAGTCTTAAAGGTCTTGTAAAGGGGAACTGACATGGCTGACCCAAACTCCCCCCTAGGTAACCCTAGAAGGATCCATCTCTGAATTAGCAAACTCAGATTTGAACACAGGGAAATAGTCTCCAGAATCTTCCTAAACCCTAGCACCTTACATCATCATTCTTCAACCACTAGCCCATAGACCAGAGCTGGGCCACAAGCATAGGAAGGTTGAAAACCACTGGTTTACCACTCTGGTTATAACTGTCAATCCATGCAGGACAGGTGTGAGTTTCAGGGTAAAAAAGACTGAAATGTCACTTTAAACTGCTCCTCTTGTTGCTTCCAATTATTTGTTGGAGCTGTACATGGGGCTTTTTCATGGACCACCTCATTTATTTCTCTGTAGCAAAGCTCTAAGTGGAGGCACTGTTAATATTCCCATTTTTTGTTAGACAGGGAAATAAGACACAGAGCATCCACTTAACTTCCTCAAGCACATCCATTTGGTCTGGGGTCTGGGATGTGGTCAGAGAGTCCGATCCAGTGGCCATGGAGAACCTGCTCCAGGCTACCTCCTTCCCTGCATGTTTCTCCTTTCTATGTGTTGTGTGGGGCAGGCAAGTTTGAAGCCTGAGCCAGACTTATTCTTTTATTGTTTTCACTTTTAAACAATAGCAGATAACCACTGGGACCCATTGTAGTTATGCTTAACTTGCTTTGGTATGGTAGCATGTGCAACTCAGTACATATAATAAATGTTTTATTACAGTACTTTTCCATGGGG